AAATGTACTACTGCTGTTAATGCTTTTTCCTTCTACTTTGGGGAGCCATTACCACTCATAACTAAAGAGTAAAGGACTTTACATAATTGTTGCTCATATTAAAAAAGACATGTATAAATTGTGTTTCCAAAAGTTCAAAAACTGGTATTCCTAATTGAGTGCCTCAAAAAAAACCTTAATACATTATCTAGTCTGGCTCTCTGATTACATAGGTGATTATGTATATTTTCCCAAAGTTTTAAAAAGGAAAGAAAAAACTGTACCAACAACCATAATAGTTTCTTTAACTCTCTTGTGAGAGTTCTTCTGTTCTTATAAAATAGGTGCTATTTCCCATTATACAAATGAACAAGCTGAGTCTTAAAAAATTACACAGTCAGAAAAGTGGGGGAGGCTCACAGATCCAAGATTCTGACCTAGATATGCCCCATCCAAAGCTTATGTCTTTTATTCTAGACCATGTTACCTTGGTGCTGTGTATGGAAAAACACATAGCATATTGTCCTGTGTCTGAGCTAGGACTGTCCTTTATGCCAACCCAAGTTCAAAGTGTTCATAGCCCACAAAGATTTTTCATTATTTCAAATTATATTTTCAAAGAATAATTTGGTCTGGTCTTCTCTAAAGATTCATTATGAAATTGTGAAATGAAAAAAACCTCATCATACAAAGGGACAGTGAGTTGAAGAGCATTTGTTCAGTGTCGCCAAAAAATTTAAGTCAGAAATTTTACTTCATAAATCAGAGTCCCTTCTAGTACGTTTGCTCATACTGCTTAGTATTAAAAAGCATAATGCTTATGTGGATTTTTCTGACTTACTGCTATATCTTAGTTTCTCTTTTATTATCTAACTTTCTAAACTGAATTAAACTCTACCTAATACTTAATAAATCAATAAATGGGCTGCAGCGTTTGCCCCATTGGGGTTTCAGGCTCATGGTGAGGTACTAGGAAAATTCTGGTTGAATTGTTACTGATATAGGAGGCTTTACAGTTATTTATTAGAAGACAGCTTGGGAGGGAAAGAGAAAAATGATTTATGTGATCCTGTATTGCTAAATACGGTACACTGCTGTTATCTTTTCTTTACTGCTTCCTCTAAGAGTCATCATTTCAATGCACTAATCTTTTAAACAGCCATTCAGTGGGAACTGGGCTAGAACTTTGCTAAGCGGTCACATTCACCATCCTGACAGTTATACATTTACAAAAGAAATGGCATGAATTTATTCAGCATCAGAACCTCTGCATCTTTTACCACCCCACTACATTTCACACTGTATTACCATCAGTGCACTATAATGGCTATATAAATTCCATCCAGATTCTTCATTTAATTAACTAGCATTCTTTGAACAAAAATAAAAGTGCTGTTTTTATAGAGGAATAAAAGCTGCACGAAGTGAGTGTGAAGGAGACAAATCATCAGATTAGTTATTCTTCACTGCAGCTATGGAGAATTTTCTGCCCCTCCTCTTTCTCTTCAGAGGCAATATTTTTTTTTTTAGTTTGATTGAATGGAAAATGGGGAGCAGTGTAGCAGCCTTGAATGTGTCTTTTGTGATGGCTGTATCCTAAGCCCATGCAGGGCTGGGCACTGATGCAATTGTCATCTACAAGTGATTTTGTTTTTTTTTAACATTTTCTGTAGTTGGCGAGGTGGTATGGTATAGTAACCAAGACATGAACTTTGTAACTAGACTACCTGGGTTCAAACCCTAGCTCTGCCACTTACTAGGTTTATAATACTAAGTTACTTAAACATTTGTAATGCTGAGTAAGTTACCACCTCCACCACTGTCACCCTTGTTCAAGTCCGTTAATTTTTGCCTATCCCCTTTCTCTTCTTCCTGCTTCCACCCTTGCCCACCACCTACAGTCTAGTCCCAACACAGAGATCAAAGGAATCTTGTAAAAATTTAAGTCGTCACATCAATTCTCTACCCAAAGCTCTCTCATCACTTCTCATCTCAACCTCAGTAGAATGAAAGTCCTTAAAATGGCCTAGTTAACCATCAATATCCTATCTACAGAATGAGAATAATCATAGAAGGATAATAAAGACATACATTATATGGCAACGTGCAGATTGAGTTGACCCATGTAAATCATTCAGACCACCACTGGCTCATAGTAAGCCATTATTTCCTATATGCATGGCAACAGTGGTATAAAGTTGATCCAGCTTCATCACTGGTGACTCTCCTGGTCACCTGGACTGAACTGACTGATGTGGTGGGCTACGTAGTTATCCCTTTCTTTCTTAGATATTTATTTCTAAAAGTATTCTTTTGTTATAACACAATTGCTTTTAGATACAAGGAAGGACAGTTCTTTGAATTAAGGGTATAGAAGGCAGTTGGTTGACCACACCTCTCCCTCCTGCACCCTGCAGCTACATTTACCTTTCTAAAGCTCTGTTTTCTCATACCATTTTCTGCCCAAAAAACCTTCAAGACTTCTCGAGATTTAATCCCCTTTGCCTATCATGCCATTTCTACCAGAACCTGACTCGTTCCCTCCCTCTCTCCAGTCTTTTTTATCCATTATTCCCATGGAGGAAGCCTCTACTGGAGTCAAAATTGATCTAGTATTGTTTCTCAAATGTGCCACATTCCTTCTTGTTTCTGTTCCTTTGTTACTTGAGGTTTTTTTTTTTGGGGGGGGGTCATACCTGACATTCTAAGCTGAGCCAGAAAAAAGAAAGGTATCCTTTACCCCTGTGTATTTTTTTCATATGACATGGTTTGCTAGATGCAGTAGCTGCTAAATAAATGCAGTTGATGAACTTATCTTCTTAACTCTATGTTCAAACTATGTTTAGAACTAACCACGTCATACCATCTCTACCATTGTTGACTTTGTTAAAGTCACAGTTGATTTTTGCCTGTCCCCTTTCTCTTCTTCCTGCATCCACCCTTGCCCACCACCTACAGTATATTCCCAACACAGAAGTCAAAGTAATCTTGTAAAAATTTAAGCCAGCCGGGCTCAGTGGCTCAGCCTGTAATCCCGCGCCTTTGGGAGGCTGAGGTGAGTGAATTGCCCAAGCCTGCTGGTTCGAGACCCGCCTGGGCAGCGAGACCTCATCTCTACAATAAATCAAAAAATCAGCCGGGTGTGGTAGCGCGTGCCTGTAATTCCGGCTACTGGGAAGGCTGAGGCGGAAGGATCCCCGGAGCCCAGCAGGTCAAGGCTGCGGTGGCCGGGAGCGGCCACTGCACTCCAGTCTGGGTGACAGAGTGAGACTCCAGCTCAAAAAAAAAAAAAAAAAAAAAAAAAAATTTAAGCCGTCACATCAATTCTCTACTCAAAACTACTCATCACTTCTCATCTCAACTTCAGTAGAACGAAAGTCCTTACAATGGCCTACAAATTCCCTTAAGATCTGCCACTCCAACCCCATGCTTACACTCACTTCTCTTACCACTCCGCCCTCATATTCTACCATTCCCTTCATCCTGGTCCCTCCACTCTCTACCTCTGCCATACTGGCCTCCTTGCTGTTCTCTGAAGATGCAGGGCACTGTCCCATCTCCGGGCCTTTACGCAAACTATTCTCTCTGTCATCTGCCCAGAAAGCTTCTCCTTGGGAAATCATGACTCCATTTTTTCTGCTGCCCTCTGATCAATTATCTTCTCAGTGAGATCTTCACTGATAATTTCCAGTTTACTGTCTATCTCCTCAAAATGGAACGTAAATTCTGAGGGGCAAAGGGAAGGCTTTTGTCTATATTGTTGTGTGTCCCCACTACCTGAAACAGAACCTGACACATAATAAATTCTTAACAAATCATTATTAAATGTATGAATGAAAAACTGACCCTTAAGAATATGTCCACATTCCTAACCCTTCGAGCACTTCAAATGTGTTTAGGCTCAACTAAAAGCAAGTGTCCCATAACAGCTCCAAGAAAATGAAAATAGCCGTAGTTTAATATTTGCCATGGCAATTGGAGCAGAAAGTTCCATCACAGAGAAGAGAGATTACTACTTCAAGTAAAGAAAAAGAAATGGTTTACAGTATAATAACTGCCATGTTAAATTATATTGGTGTCCTGGAGGACTGTCTTTGACCCAGCACCAAAGTACATTTTTCCCCCAAGGTACATTTTGAGAGAGCAAGTGGTTTTGGCTATCCCGTCTTCTTACTAATTTGGAGAGTTTAGCTAGTGTATGGGGAGTTTTGTTTTGTTTTGTCATTTAGAGGCAGAGTAAATGGTGGAAAGAGAGCATTAATGTTGGAGTTAGGCAAATCTGGGTTCAAATTCTGGTACTACCATATGTCTTTGAATAGATTATATAACTTTTCTGAATCTCTGTTTATGTATGAAATGGGTTTCAATAATGCCTTCCTCTCAGTGTTGCTCTAAAGATTAAATGGGAAAAAATTTGTGAAACACTTTCCAGAGATGGAAAGAACATATATTTAATAAGTGTCTTGTGAGTATTACATTCTACAGATACAGCTATGTATTTTACTACCAAATTCTGCCTTTTGGCTTAAACTAAAAGGGAGAAGTGGCAGACTAATGCTCAGGAGAAAACTTTGGGCTTGGCGCTTGGTCCAAGGAGAAGCCCCACAACGCTGTGAATCTCTCCGCAGCATCTGATGAAACTGGAAGAGCCTTTTTAGAACATGAGCCCTACTACCTACTTGAGTTGCTGTAGCCTACTCTTTCAGCCTTTTGAGTCAATTAGTATTGTTCTATTTTCCATTTTCAATACTCCTCTACTTCCCTTATTTTCAAAGTGTTATGCTAAGTAGGTGAAGTTAAGAGATAACACACTAAAGTCAACAAAAACTTAACAAGTAAGCTCAGGCAGCTACTTCACCTAATAAAATAACATGAATATTAATTTTCAAATTGAGAAGTGAAGAGCATATGTATATTGATTTTTTTAGAATTAGAACTTCCAGAGTGAGGAAAATATTTTGTGTAAGCCACTGAACTATTTTTTACATGTTTTTAAATGACATTAATATTAAAATCTTTAGGAAGCTAAAGCTGTAGTTGAAGAAACAAGAGCCCTACGAAGTCGAATTCATCTTGCTGAAGCTGCACAGAGGCAGGCTCACGGAATGGAAATGGACTATGAAGAAGTGATCCGTCTGTTAGAGGCCGAGATTACAGAGCTAAAGGCTCAGCTTGCTGATTATTCTGACCAAAATAAAGTAAGCAAAACAGTCTTCTCTTCTAGTTACCATGGTTTCCTTGCCGTTGTCATGTATCCTGTTTTCATTTTCTTTTCATCTGCACTCCTAAACTAGGTCAGTGTTTGTCTTCTATTATTCACTGATAGGATGATGTGTCATGATGGGGGTAATGTGAAGGTCTTGAGCCTTCTTTTATCCAGATATCTTTGGCATGGAAAAGCATGTGCCCAAAATGTATTTAAGTCTTTGATCAACATTGTTGAGCTCAAGCATTAAATCCTGGAACTATTTAACATTGAATTGATTATATTGTTTCTTTTGTTGTTGTTATCATTTTCTAAACTTGCTAATTTGTTTTGTGGGGATGAAAGGAGGGGAGTCTACGATGGGTTTTGCTCTTTGATTAGAGCATTCAAGAAAGTGTGAAAGCTAAAGAATTTTTGCCTAAGGCCCAAGATAATTAATGGGAAGAAACTGAGTTTCAATCTCTCTTTTTTTTTTTTAATGTAAGATGTACTAAAGTAGTCTCCAGTAGAAATTTTCCAATTTCAATAGCTGAATGCTTTTTAGAAGGCAATGTGAACTTTTCTTTATGTGAATTTTTCACTTAATACATACTATATTCATTGAATCAGCTTCAGAAACTATAGTAGTCATATGTTTTTACTTCACAAAAGAAAGGCAGAAAATAAATAAATTGTTATCGATATTTTATAACTTCATAGAGTTGTTCATTTATAAATAAAATAACTGTTTATGTCTCTAAGGTAATTAATTTTCAAGAGAATATAAAGCAAAGTTGAGTAATTTATGACTATTTGTTTAAACCTAAAAGAGTTAAATACTTAAAGTTATCAAGTAAAAATGAAACTAGTTTTAGAAATGCAAAATACAGAAAAAAAACCTGAGATGTTTTTTGGTTAGCTCTTAAGAGTCACTAATATATTTCTCACATTTGTTCATTTAAACCAATTCCACAAGAAGACTGAAGTTCCCATCACCCTTTGACAATACAATAAGACTAAAGAGAAAAACATAGCTTGACAAGGCAGCAATACCTAAGAATATTACACATATTTGTTATTTTTGACCCAGTATTTACATTCTGAAAACAGAGATAAGTGATTATTTCTTGTAACTTTAACCTGATTATGAAAATATTTTGGGAATTGTCAAAATATTAAAAGTACTCTTTTTTATAGTTACTTTTAAAGAGAAAATCAACAGTGTGTATTACTTTATTTTTAAATACTATAACTTTCAAAAAGTTAACATGAAATTATCTTTTTTTTTTAAGCTTGAGTTATTTACAGTCTCTCTTCTAGCTGCGAGCTGAAAAACTTTTTGTCTAAGTTGCCTGGTAATATAATTAACTCAGTTTTTCTCTCTTTTAGTATAATAAGGGTCTCATGTCATTCTTCTCAACAAGACCCTAAACTAATCCAGTAACCTGTTTCTGAAAACAATCTTTTAAAGAGATGTCAGACATGGGCATCTCATCATTTTCAAAACTCAATGACAGTGGAAGGAGAAGGAAACCTCTTTTTTTTTTTAGTACGGTTGCTTAAAGAGACATTGACCAAGATGTTACAGAATTCAGATTCAAATATTTATTAAAAGACAGATTCTTTTTTTAACAATGCTTTTATTTTTATTATAATTATTTCTTTATATTATCTATTTATTTACTTATTTACCTTTTGCAGTTTTTAATCCACCTCCAACTTAAGAAATAAAACATTACTAATACCTTTGAAAACCTGTAATGTTCCTCTCCAGTTGCTTCCCTCTCCCTTTCCCTGAGAGGTAACCACTTTCCTGGATTTAGTGTTAACCATTTTCTTGATAATTTTACTCTCTATGTTTATATCCCTTAATATGTTGTTTAGTTTTCCCTGCTTATCAACTTTATATAAATAGAAATATGCTATATATATATATTATTATTCTGACTTGCTTTTTTTCACTCAACATTTTGTTTCTGCAGTTCATTCATTTGAAGTTTTTATAGCTAGTTTATGTCTTTTCATTGCTTCTTTGTATCATGTTACATGAAAATACTACACACAGCATAGTTATCCATTCTGCATTTGATAGATAGTATTAATGTTTCTGTTCACTTCTGTAATAAATGGTGTTGCTAAAAGCATTTTTGTGCATATATCCTGCTCCTCATGAATAATAGTTACCTGCTAGGAGTAGAATTGCTAGGTTGAAGGATAATTGTATGTTTAACTTCACTAGGTAATGTACTTGTGTTTGAAAGTGTTTGTACTCCCACCAGTAACACATGTGAATTATTGTTGACCCCACAAGCTTGCTTACCCTTTGTTTTCTTTTACTTTCAATTTTTATCAATCTGGTAAGTATAATAAGTATTATGTCATTGTAGTTTAATTTTAATTTCTCTGGTAACTAATGACTTTGAGACAGTGATGTGCTGGGACTAGTTGACACCTGTTCTTGAAAGCTAATTGTATGCATCTCTTTTTAACTCCACGTTCAGTGACATCAGGTTGGTAGCTTTAAATCAGCCATGATGGGGTTGTTCTCCAAAATGGAGCACCTGGCTAGCTCATTCGATAGAGCATGAGACTCTTATACTCCCAAATGCCGTAAACCTAGACCACCCCCACTCCAATAGCCAGTTGAGCATATATTTATTTATTATTTGGTCATTTGTGTTTTTCTGTGAAATGCCTCTTCATGTTTTTTGACCATTTTTCCATTGGGCTATTTGTCTTTTTCATATAAGTGTGTAGTGATTCTTCTGGTGACTAACCCTTTATTAAGTTATATGTTATAAAAATCTTCTCCCAAATTTGTGGCTTGCTTCTTCACTCTATGGTGAAATGGACAAGAATTCTTAATTTTCATGTAGTCAAACTTAAAAATCTTTTCCTCGTGTGTTTTTTAGAATCCCTTTATTTTCCAAGGATATAAAGATAATCTTTTATATTTGCCTCTAAATGTTTTAAAGTTATTATCTTTCTATAATTGATTTTGGGGCAATGTATGAAGTGGGGATCCATTTCATTATTTGTTCATTCTAAATAAATAACCAACTATCCCATCACTGTTTAATAACAAGCCCCTTCTTTCCTAATTGATCTATAGAACCAACTCTGTCACATATAAAGATTTCACATGTGTATGAATCTGTGTAAGATTCTCTATTCTTCTTCTGGTCCATGCATATTGTTTTGTGAATAACACACTGTGTTACTGTATCTTTTACAATAAGTCTTGATATCTGATCATCCTATTTTCTTCAAAACTGTGTTGGCTGCATGACCCTTTGAACTTTATTATTCATTTTAGACTCAGCTTATCAATTCCATTAAAAGAAAACAATTGGAATTTTTACTGGAAACTCATTAAATATATAGATTAATTTGGGAAGAATTTATATATTTATGATTGTCTATGTATGAACACCACTGAGCCACAGAAAGGTTAAGTGCATTATGGTCAGAGTTACTAGTTTATAGAATAACAGCTCTTCAAAATTTGATGATGTTTGCTTTATGACTTAGTGTGTAGTCAGTATTTACAAATATTCAAATGATCTTAATTCTGTACTTGTCGGATGCTGTTGTTCTATATAGTTCACTAGATCAGGGTCATTAATTGTGGGTCATTGTCTCTGTTCATATTAATTTCTTTGCCTGATTGAGCCATCATTCACTGAGAGAAATATATTAAAATCTCCCATTTGGTTTCTCTTTTGATAATTTTCTTTGTATATACTTTGAAGTAATGCTTTTAGATGCATACAAGCATGGGATTATATTAACAACCTTATATGAATATTCTATGACTCTTCAATCTAGCGGTCTTCTCTCCCTTAATACCTACTTTTGACTGATATTAAAATAGTTACAACAGCTTTCTTTTGATTGCTATTTACCAATGTATTGTTTTCATATATTTATTTTCACCTTTTCGGTGTCTTTATATCTTAATTGTAGCTATGGTAAATAACGTGTAGCTGGATTTTCCCCCTTATTACTAATTTTTTACTTTAGTTGGAAAGATTTTTCTATATTTGCTAATGCACTTGACTTCCTTTCTGCCCTCTTATTTCTTACATTTTATTTTCCCTTTGTCTTCTGTTTTTTATTTTTAGCTTTTTCTAATTGTTTTGATGAGTTCAATTTCTCCTGTGTCTTCTTGTCCCATTACATGTGTTTTTCTCTTTTGGTTTAGAAGTTAAAAACTTTTGTTCCTAATTTTTAATGATTATTCCAGAAATTTGAACATTCTCATATAATTTAATTTATAAAGTTAATTCATAGCTTTCCCCTTCTTCTAAATATTGTAAGCTCTTTCATACATATATTCAATCATCGCTTCTGACTTAATTTCTGTTTTTGGCTGTGTTTTAGTTATTTCTTGACTTTTAACATCCATTAGATACTGTTTTAATTTGCTTTGTGTGGTCAGCATTTGTTTAGATAGATCCCAGGTTATCATTTTCTGTATTAAACATTCTTTTTTATATCTCAGACCTTCTTGCTTCATTTCTTTTTCTTCCTAAAGTACATCTTTTAGAAATTCATTTAGTGAGAATCTGTTGGTAATAAACTCTCCATCTTGTTTGCCTGAAAAAATCTTTATTCAACTCTTGTTCTTGTATATATTTTTGCTACGTTTAAAATGTTAAGTTGGCATTTAATTTCTTTCACTGTTTTTATTTCATAGTTGTGATGTCAGCTGTCAATCTGTCATTTGTTTGCAATCTGTTTCCTTCTGTATGACTTTAAGATCTCTTTGGCTTTGATGTTCAGCAGTTTGACTCTGATGAATCACATGTTAACTTATTTTAATGTATACTGTCTGAGATTCATAGAGCTTTTTGATCTGAGGAGCAATGTCTTTTGTCATTTCTGAAAATCCCTAAGCTATTATCCTGAGCTATTTCTCTTTCATTCTTTATAGTTGCTATTATATAATTCAGATTGAATGTATGCTAGAGAGCTGCTTCTGACTGTTTAATCCTTACCACTTCTCTTCTACTCATATTTTAGTTTTTGCCTTTCTAATTCATTTTGAGAAGTTTCTTCTATCTTCCAGTTCACTCATTTTCTTTGTGACTGTATCTAATTGAATATTAAACTTATAAATGGAGTTTCTAATTTAATAATGTTGCATTTTATTTGTCAGAATTTATCTGACTTTTTTGTAGTATCTGGATCTATTTTGATAATTTTTGTTCCTTTATTATCCTTTCAATGCACCTTAATTTGGAAAATATATGAAACGTAATTGCTATAGTTTCTATATCTGACCACTCCAATATCTACTGTCTTTATAGATCTGATCTTGTAATTTGTTTCCTTCAGCTGACTTTCACTCATATAGTTTATTTTTTCATGTGTTTAGTGATTTTTTAAAAATTGTAAAGTCATGCTCTCTTGATGCATTATATACAGGGATTCTTTGAGGTCTGAGTTTTTAAAATATCTCTCCAGAAAAGTCATGTTTGCTTCTACCACCCTAGGACCAATTTAAACTAAATTTTCAGCTTATGGCTTTTCAGACCTCAAAGGTAATATAAATTCTGGCTCCAACCTGCCTGTGTGGGGGTTTGTGGTTAGCAATTATTCAGGAGACACTTTTTTACTTACCAGACCCAAAGTCAAAACACCAATTACCTTTGTGAAGTTTGTTTCTTCCTAGTTTACATGCTAAAGTTCTGCTGTTTGCACCTTGTGCCTGATGAAACCCCAAGCCATAGGCCACCAGGTCTCAGCATATACCCTCAGAGAAAATTATGTTTCAGTGCTCTCTTACCCCAGAGTATTCACTAGGCATTGTCGAATTAGTTGCTTGTCACCATGGAATTCCTTTACTTCTCTGCCAAGTTTGCCTTACATTGAATTGCATTACTTTGTGTGTGTGTGTGTTTGTGTGTGTGTGTGTCCAGCATTTTTAGTTGTGCTGCACTGATAGAGGTTTCTGTCAACATCTGGTAAGACATGTTGCCAAAAAAATCACAAACTAATTTAAATGTATTTTACTATAAGAATCAATAACATCATATGCCTCTTATCTCATAAAACTTGCAGCATCCCTATGCAAATCAGCTTTTAAATATGCAATTCGTTACATGTTCTCCAAAAGCAGAAAAGAGAAAAATTACATTATGTGCTAATATTGAATATTAGTTCACAAAAACTGAAAATAGGAACCAGTGATATTAAATTGAAGAAATATGTAAGATGCTCCTTTTGATATCTCTGTCCAGGAGAGTGTTCAGGATTTGAGAAAAAGAATCACAGTACTTGACTGCCAATTGCGAAAATCAGAAATGTCTCGAAAAACTTTTGAGGCATCCACTGAAAAGCTTCTTCATTTTGTAGAGGTAAGTTTTTCTGTTATATGACATTATGTGTATTTTTAAGAAATATATAGGCAACTGACATATAGATAAATGCCATTGTAATTGGTGCCTGGTGAATCATTCTCTAGTCTCAAAACAGCAATTCTGACTTGTAGCCAAATTTAGAATTGCCTAGATGATGAAAACACTGGCTAATTGATTTTTAAAAGAATTAATTGAAACGAGAAACATCCCAAATATACTGTTTTAATGAATACTTTCCTGAAAATCCTGATAATGCGTAAACATTATTTGTTAACTATTTATCCTATAAAGAAATGTTTATACAGCTGTTATATTTCCTAGTACAATTGTAGGTTAATATGATTGATTTTTTTCCCCATATAACACAAACATCTGTTTAATCAATGGGGAGGGAGGGGAGATTGTAATTATTAATGGACAAAAGACATGTTTTTAAAACTATAAAACTTACATATCTTCATCATCTTGTTTGTTGCTAGGCAATTCAAGATGTATTTCCTGATAATTCTACTCTTTTATCAAATCTAAGGTAAGAATATTTAAGTGCTTTCTGCAGAGTATGGCCACTAATTAAATTTCCTGTCTGGTAACTATGACTAAAATACTAAAAATCTCTACATTGCCACTTAACTCGTATTAGATGTCATTCTCTAATATCTTGTAGCAATAACTGCAAGGACATACTGTTTTTGGTCCCATCTCTATCAAAGAAATTCTTGGAGGTATTTAGTTGCTCATTGTAACCTTGTATTCTAAACTTGAGATAGGGATCACCTATCCTGTCTTTGTCAAGTATTCTGTAAAGATAAGATATAAGTTCTCTAATCATCCTACGTATCAATAAAGTTACCAGTGACAGGGTCACTGCTAAAGGTTAGTCTCAACCCAGCGGATTAGTCATTATAGCAAACAGAATTTTGTAAAACATTTTCATGTCATCAGTTTCTTAAGTTTCTTACTAAAAGCTACAATTATAATACTCAGATTCTTTTTTTACACCACAAGTTTATGGTCATATTGATAGATGTTAAAAGACATATGCCAAAAAAAATTCTTATTCATACATTTTCAAAGTAATTGTTTCACCTCTTATAATAGCTGCAACTAGTCCTAGATATGTCTTCTACTTCTAGCAGTATATACTTACAGAAACAGGAAAACTCTACCATTAACTGTGAAAACAGCAGTTCAATAAAGAAAATAAATGAAGATATTTTAGGTGTCCACATAGCTTTTTTTTTTTTTTTTTTTGAGTTGGAGTCTCACTCCGTTGCCCAGGCTGGAGTGCAGTGGCACGCTCACAGCCACCCCAGTGTCAACCTGCTGGGCTCCGGCGATCCTTTGGCCTCAACCTTCCAAGTAGCCAGAACTACAGGCGTGTGCTACCATGCCCAGCTAATTTTTTGATTTATTGTAGAGATGAGGTCTCACCAAGTTACCCAGACTGTTCTTGAACTCGTGGGCTCAGACAATCCCCTCACCTCGGCCTCCCAAAATGCTGGGATTATAGACTTG